ATGCTGAGGAGGGGAAACTGCCAAATGGCCTTCCCCTTCCTGATCTTCCTTCGGCTGCCACGTTTCAGCCCATGTTTTCCAGGTTTGTGTAGGGGGAAGGGGAGCAAGGTGGGGGCAGAGGTGGCCATGGGAGCTGTCTCCTGGGCCCAGGGCTTCCCCAGACAGCCCCCCCCCCACCTCTGCAGGCTTTTCCTGGCTGGGAAGGATTCCCACTCCTTAGCCTCCCCTTCCACACAGTTCCGGGGCTGACTGGCAGAGCAGTAAGGAGCAGAAAGGCTTCTGTGCTATCTGGGAAGCCCCTTCTTACCACTTGCCCAGGTTCGGTCTTGTGAGTTAGACTGGGGAGTTGTCAGTCAAGGTGACTTGAACCTTGGAAAGAAGCCTTCATCCCACCCTTGGACCCAGGGCCCTCCAGAAGGGCTGGCCTTCCATGGGCACTGGGCACTGACAGCAGCCAGCCTGCCCATCAGAACAATGGGGACCCTAGTCCACCATATCTGGAAGGCACATTCTCTAAATATCTAAAAGTCCTTGTACTTGGGGGATCCAGTGCTTGCTTGCTTGCTTGCTTCCTCCCTCCCTCCCTCCCTCTCTCTCTCTCTCTTTCCTTCCTTCCTTCTTTCTTTCTTTCTTTTTTTCTTTCTTTCTCTCCCTTCCTTCTTTCCTTCCCATGTCTTTCTTCTTCTCCTCTTTCCATTTTTTGTTCTTCTCTTTTCTTTTTCCCTTTTCCCTTTCCTTTTAGTCTTCTTCTCCTTCCTTTCTCTGCCCTTCCCATCTATCCTTTCGCACAATATTAGTGGAATGGCTCTGTGTGTGTGTGTGTGTGTGTGGAGGGGGGTGTGTGTAAACCCTAAATTTAGTTTTATTTCAGTTACATTTAATTAAAACTGAATGTACTTGATCCTATTCTTCTCCAGCTTTCTATTTCATAATTCCTTCCCTCTGTCTGGGATTCTCAGTGGCAAGCTTTGGGAGCCCTTCTGCTCCTCTGCAGCAGAAGTACGAGAGGAGCTCCCTTTATCTAACATCTTCCCCACCCTTGTCCTGCACGCGTCCCTCTCTCTGCCCCTCTTTGCCCCCACCCCAAACATCCCTGATTGGCATCCAGTGTCTCTCTCTGGCTGTGGGTTCAGGAAGCCTCCCTGTGTTGTCTCGAAAGTGCTAAGCTGCATTTATCAGCATTTAAGCCTAAGTTGGATTTGGCGTTGATTTTCAGCCAGATGTGGCAGAGCTGGCAAGTTTAGCAGACACGGGGGATACGAGGAGTTTGCAGGACGGAGCTGGCAGGGCAGCTGGCATTCAGGGCCAAGCAGCAGGCATTGCCCAGCTGATTGATTTGGAAGAAACCAATCAATAGAAGAGCAAAGAGGGTGGGTGGGTGGGAGAGAGAGAAAGAGAGAGAGAGAGAGAGAGAGAGAGAGAGAGAGAGAGGTCGCCTGCATTTCTCCCCCCCTCCCCCGCAGACACTGGTCTGGGTGCTATAGATTCAAACACTGTTTTTCAAGGGGAGAGGTAATAAAAGAAAATCAGAAGTGGACTTGCTGCAAATTATTTGGGAAAACAAAAAGGGCTTCTTTAAGTAGGGAGCAGAGGAGAATTTGAAGGGGTGTGTGTGTGTGTGTGTGTGTGTGTGTGTGTGTGTGTGAAATGGATTGTATAAAACAGAGATTCCCTTCTGCAAAATGTTTGTGAAAGTTGTAAAGGTAATACTAATGTATACATTGCACTGGATTCTTTTATAAGCATGAGCAACCTTTAGAAACAATTTGCAGAGTGGATGTTCTTTCGCTTTCTATGTTTTGACAGTCCAGTCCAGGTTCTGAGACACCAAGTGATGAATGTTCTCCATCCCCTTTTAGCATGCCCTGATAGACAGTTCAGGTCCACGATCTGAAGGGCTCTACAGGGAGGTCACCTTGATCTCTAATCCTAAACTTGGCCTGTGACATTTCACTTTCTCCTTGGTTAGAGTCCCTGATGCATAAATTCCATCCTCTGATGAAAGGGGACACGTATTCCATCATTCCAGAAATGCTGGGCAGGCTGGAATTTATTTCTGTCCAAAACTGGCTGATTGTTGTTAAACAGTGGAAAGATGCTGCAAAAGCTGTAGAAAGGAGAGAGGCTTTTTACGCTTTTGTTTGAGGGTTCTCCCGCATATCCTGTCCCACTGGACAATCCTGAAACAAATCCATCCCCAGAAGTTTGATTTTGAAAAGTTTGACGACTTTTACTTCTACAAAAGGAGCGTAATTCTCCAATTAACAAAATAACAGAATTGGAAGGGACTTCGGACTTGAGCAGGAGACGTATGCCAGGGCGGGAGGTGGGCTGTCCAACTTTGGAACTTTAAGAGTTGTGGACCTAAACGCAACAGTTGGGAGTTGCTGTTAAGAAGACTTATGGGGGAGTCAAAACTCGAAGCAGAACTTCCTATGAAATTCCACCTGGAAGACTTAAGCGGGTGGGAGGAATAGTATTTCAGTGCCATTGGTTAAATTAATGGACTGTTGCAAAAGGTTTCAATCAACGGAAGATTCTTTCCCTGAATGGACAGCTCCATTCACAAAATCTGGGAATAGATCAGTTTCAGGATTGTCCAGCAGGACGGTTTCATTCTTGATTCCAAACCGGGAAAGAGAGGCAGCATTCAGCCGGCTTTGTCTCCATCTGCTGGAAATTTGCACAAACTCAAAATCACACCAGGCTGTTTCTCCCAGCCTGCCCTGTCCCGCTGCTGCCCAGTGTTGTTTGATCAGATATGGAAACCAAAGTTGAAATAAGTGGAGAAGGTTTGACAGATGTGTTGAGGCTGGGACATGATGGATGCACCTGATAAATCTCTAAGCTTTAGGTCGGTTGCTCACTCTGAGGCCTTCAACATTGGTGCTCCAATAACCAGACTAGTTGGGAATTCTGGACATTGTAATTCCAGCATATGGGGAGGGGAGGAGAGAGATGGAGGGGAGAGAAAGGCTGGTGTGAATGCAGCACATTTGCTGTTTGATTTGATGGGGAATTGCCTCTTCTGTCCATCTTTGAAATTGGAAGTTAGGTTAGACTATGGGCAAAGAGCCCATCATAGCAACATCAGTTCTTCTGTGTTTTAGAAGCCAGTTCTCCAACTCTGACTTTCAACTCTTCCTTCTTCTCAAACTTTGTAAAAGTTCTTCTCCAAACAGATTTTGGTATTTGCTTTCTTTCTTTCTTTCTTTCTTTCTTTCTTTCTTTCTTTCTTTCTTTCTTTCTTTCTTTCTCTTATATATAGCCACCCATCTTTAAAACAGCTCTGTGTAACTCATCGCAACAATGAAGCACCTGTTGGCCTCAGAGCCTGGCATCTGTTTTATGCAACAGGCCCAGTGAACTTTGCCTCCTGGGCACTGGAAGTGTGGGGCTAAAAATCAGGGCTTACTGTGACCACCATCAGTGGAACATCCATATCCTGAAGAAGTGTACCTGAGCTTTCCAAGACATAAAAAACATCCTTTTGATGCCACTTGGCACAAACATGGATAGGAGATGGACATCTTGAAGACTGAGGAGGCAAAACCTACCTTGCCCAATAAGCAATTTCAGAATCCACGTGCAAGAACAGAGGGGGATCCTATCTCACCTAACTAGATTTATTTCTCCTTCATTGTAACCGGGCAGTTAGTGGCAATTGCTTATGTGCATCTTTGGAACATGCACATATTCTCTGTACATGTGTTTGTGTGGATGTGTGTGCGTGCACGCCTCTGAATCCTTGTTGGTCCTGGTGATTGTGTGGACTACTGTAGTCTCGGCTGTTTTCCTCATGTCTCCTAGCTATGTAGAATTACAACTCCCATCATCCCCAGTAGGAGAGATTGTACGAAGGATGCTTTTGCTGAAAAGGCAGATTGCAAGCACAGTCACGGCTTCACTTAGAGACTGCTTTGATTAACAATCAAATTGCCGGTCACTGTCGTGGTCTCTGAGTGAAGACTCTCTGTAAAACAGAGGAACGTGGACTCCATCGAGAGAGTCCAGAACGGAGGTCAATTTGATGCGCACAACCATGCTGTGAGACAGCCAGATGGAGAAGAAGGGGTGACCATCAGGTGCTGAGTTGCACCCGAGTCTCCCCAGCCCCACAGTGGGGGGCAGGGAGTGTTGTGTTGTGTTTCTGCCCTCCCCACTGGTCCCAAACCCTGATCTGTTTGGTGATGGGATAAGCCCTGAGACCCGTGAGGAGTGTCAGGAGTGCAGGTCTCCCTCCCAACCCAGATCGCTGCTGCTAATTGTGCGCATGGCGTCCGAAACGTAACTTTTTTCCCAGCAGCCCCTGAGAGAGAGACTCTTACCTTGAGAGGTTTATCGCCACACTTACGAAACAGATCATTCCTCAGCGAATGGCAGGCTTGAGAAGCAGAATGACGGACATCTCTTTTCTTTAGTCGATGCCAAAATAATTCACTGTCTCTCAGCATTGGGGTCCAGCAAAGAGGGCCGTAGAAGAAACGGGCAGCAACTCTTTTTTGGGTCCAAAAGTACTCAGTTGCCTGGCATTTGACTGAGGGGATGCTGCAACAGTCCAAAGTCTGAGGACTACTTGTAGGTCCCTTTTTTTCAGTGCCGTTGTAACTTTGAATGATGGCTAAATAAATAGTGGTAAATCATGGAGCACTTGTGCATGGAAAACCTGTCAAAGAGCAATGTTGGCACTGCCACGAGGGGGCTTCGTGCCCCTTCCCTCCCTCTGCCCTGAAATGCCCTTTTCTGTGGCTGCAACCAGCCTCACAGCCAGCTCATCTGCAGTACCACTCGAACTCACAACCGACACCCCAGCCCGTTTGAGGGGCGTTTGGGGCTGGGGTCGCCTTTAGCCACCCCAGATCCTTTTTCAGGCACGTCCAGCTGTGCAGCTGTGGGAGAATGGACACTCCAACCCCCTCCCCACCCCCACCCTCCTCGAGGCTGTGATCTGAGGCTGCAGCCCTGGCCAAGCCCAGTGAAAATTCCTGACATATTTTTCACCTTCCTTCCAGCCAAGAACGGAGCCTTTCCCGGGAAGTGAAGCCGGGAGCCTGCAAAAGCCAAGGGACCAAAGCCTTCCAAGGTATCGCTGGCTGACCCGGGGAATCGTTGGTGTGTGTGTGTGGGGTCTCTTCCTTGCCCCCTAGGCCCATATTTATTCTTCCCTGTGCCCCTCTCTCGCCTCCCCATATTTTCCACCTTGTCTGAGTACAGATAGTCCTCGACTTACGACCGCACCTGAGCCCAAACTTTCTGAGGCTAAGCGAGACATTTGCTAAGTGGATTTTGGCCCGGTTTACGACCTTCCTTGCCACAGCCGTGAAGTGAATCGTTGCCATTGTTAAGTTAGTGACACGGTTGTTAAATGAATCCGGCTCCCCCCACTGAGTTTGCTTGTCAGAAGGTCGCAAGAGGGGATCCCGTGACCCCAGGACACTGCAACCGTCGTAAATATGAGTCATTTGCCAAGCCCCTGAATTTTGATCGCCTGGCCGTGGGGATGCTGCAACAATCGTAAGCGTGATCGTGTCGCTTTTTCCAGTGCTGTTGTAACTTTGAACGGTCACTAAATGACCTGCCGTAAGTCGGGGACTACATGTAAAGACTTTATCCCAAGCCATCCTGCCTCTCTGCTGCTTTAATCCACCTCACCAGCTGCCTGGAAGCATTTTTTTTTCCCCTCTCTTCCCTCCTCTCTTTCTCTCCTCCTCCTCCTCCTCCCTCCCATCCTTTTTATTTTTTGCAAATTAAAAAATGACAACAACCCTCTCGGGCCTTTTAAAGAAGAAGAAACTGAACGTTTAAGCTGTCTAGACACCACAGAAGGATTGGGAACGGCACTTTACAAGAGAGGAAGCAATTCTTCATAACCTTAAGCCAAAGGTTTGGAGTCCAAAAGCTTCTGTTTAACCTGCCTGGATATAATTTATGGCTTGATGAACCAGTTGCTGCTTCTCTAGAGAGGCAGATGGAAGGGAGGCGTCTCCTCCCCAGCACCCCGCAGGGAGACGGAGGGAGGGGGAGAGCTTCTAAGGCTGCTTTCCTGGAGTAAGGAAGGGGAGGGAGGGAGGGGGGGTTCTTCCCCTTCTAAGCCAGTCCCGAGTGCCCTCCTCAATTCTCCTTCAGTGGGTGCAGGAACCTATTGAGGTCAGACATCTGGCTGAGTTAGGCTTAGGAGATCCTGGCCCAGAGATGCTCGTCTGTCTGTGATCCGGTTCACACATTGCACCTAAGCCCAAATGTCATGAATTTGATTTGAAATGCTATCCAACCTCGCCTGTCCGGGAGGATTCAGGAAACCACAGTTAACCAATCCATGGCTTAGCCTGAGGCAGGATTCTGATAAGCAAGACCAGGTTTTTGGGATCACCTTTGGTGACTAGGAAAGGGGAGAGATGCAGCTGAAGGCAAAGCTCCTGTTTGGTTTGCAGGAGGTTTGTATTAAATCATTGCTTGAAGGAGTCAGGAAGATCTTCTGGGGCCCACAGACTGGACACTGCTGGGCTTAGAGGGACAAGAAGCTTGCCTTAGTTCAAAGCAGATTCCTGGGCTCCCTCTGTTTTTATTTTTTTGCTTTTTTAAATTTCTGGGACCTTTTTCCTGTTTACAGTCTGTGCTTATTTCGGCTCTGTTCCCATTTCGGACAGTTTTTGAACTCCAGTGCCTGAATCAGAAGCCAAGCAATTGTTTGTTTTGGTTCCTTTTGCTCTAATGCAAAGTCTGTGATGTAACCATTGTACATTTCTTGGATACCAACACTTTTTTTTTTAACTATTTCCAAAATGTCTCCTCTTTGCAGCTTGATTAAGCCTAGCTAGCATAAGGGCAGCCCTTGTGGCCTCAGCTGGGGAATCTTGGCCAGGAATATCCTTGCAAATTTAAATTTAATTTTGATTTGAGCAGCCGTGAGTGGGCCAACCATTACCGTTTTCACTGGGGCATAAACCATGAATTATGGTGAATGCTGACAGTGATAGCATCAGTGCTGGCTAACAGGAAGGAGGAGCCGGGGGTCTTTCTCCGCTGCCAACCCTTGCCATCTGGAATTTTGTTTGGGCAAGCAAGCGTGAAAAATTTGGAATTTGTATTAAAAAGTACATGAGAAGCCATGAGTCTCAAAGGGGCGCAGAAGATGGTTTGAGGGAGAGCGGAAAATAAAAATAAAGAGCTTCTCTCTGACAATTGCTGGCTTATTTTTAAGAGTTAAATTAATTGCTGGAAAGGAAGATTGGAGAGAGACAAATAATTCCCCCTTTGGGGGGTGTCTCAGAGAGAACATTCTTCTCCTCTTCCTTTTTTCTAGGTTCCTTTTCCTGAATGCACCAATTTTCTCAGATGCGGGGCCTCGCCACTCCTGTCACGCCCCTCAGTCCCAATTATCCCTGCTTCGGACAGGAAGGCTGTGCAGAGAGTGGTGAGGAGGGCTGAAAAGATCTTTGCCTGTTCCCTCCCTCCCATCCAACACGTGGCACAGAAGCGTTGCTTGAGCAGGATTGTCCTGGTGGGAAGGGGGAGCAGGAGCGATAGAAATACACCCAGTCGGGCTGGGCAGCAGAGATTTCGCCTGACAATAAGCCTGCCAGCAGAGCCCGTCTGTCATCCACTGTGCCAGGAGAAATATCTCGCGGGGCGAAGAAAAGGGCCTCGCCTCAAGGGGCCTCTCTCTTCATCCTGCAGCTCAGCCCCTTTGCTGCTCTCTCAAAGCGTTGCTCTCAGGGGGGCTATAGGCTGCTCTGTTTCACTCTCCTTTGCTAGGACAGGCTAAGCCAGAGTTAACCTAGGCACGGTTCTAGGAATAAACCATAGTTTCCTGGATTTGCACAATAAGCTAAGCTGTGAGTCCTCACTGACTAAGGCTTGCATATTGCCCTGTGTCCAAAGCTATCTGAACAACGGGGGGGGGGGGGGGAGGAGAGCAGGTTGTGTGAATTTATGAATGAAGGCAAATCTACGTGTCCCAGGACACTGTTGCAAGATCCAATTTGGGTTGGTCACCAGGACCAGAGGTTTAGTCTTAGTCCTCAGGGAAATTCTTCTTCTGGCAGCTCAGACGAATACATCTCTGGTCCCAGAGATGTATTCATTGGATTGGATCTGGTGTGAATTTAGTCCAAGAGTCTGTAAATCTTTGCCTTAGTTCTTTCTCCAGAAGTCAGTAAGAAAATGGACCTTAAGCTTTGAACAATGCCTGAGTATTGTGAATCCAAAATTTCATGGGACCCAAGTCTCACGTGGACTTTCTGTCTTACAGGTCTCCCGTGGAAGGATGTAATGAGTCCTGCCCGCGTAGCCTCCGCGGAGCCTCTCCTGCAGCCAGGATGGACATAGGAGCTGTTCAAGAGGCGGAGATGCCTCCCGGCCCCTGGAGAAGAAAAGAGAATCTAAAGGATGGGGAATCTTTAGGCTGAGGAGCTGAAGGAAACAGGCTCTTGCTAATGACATCATGGGAGAAACCCAGCATGCTTATGCCACCCGTGATGTTGAGACTGGTGCCCAGGACAAAGTTCTCAGCTTTGAGCCGTTCAGCAAGAAAGATCCGGGTGAAGTTGAAAACAGGCTGCTCGACAGCTCCAAGTCAGAAGGTCAGAGTGGGAGCCATAATGGGACTGACTTGGTCAGCAACAAGGAGAAGGAGCCTCACAGTCAACGGGAAGCTGTGATCCGCCCCCAGAAAGCAGGCAAAATAGACTTCAAGTCCCTCAACAACCGCACCAGGTTTCCTGGGGCCGGCCCATGGGGTGCTGCCAAAGGGAACCCCCTGTCTCCCCCTGGAAGGAGCCGGGCAAGAGATAAGAGCAGCAGGCGGGCAGGGAGGAGCGAGCGGGGCCATCAGCAACTCTACCGGCTCACCATCAGCAATGCCAGGCCCAACCCCACCATTGGCATTGCTTATCCCCAGCAGAAAATCACACCACCCAAAAAGGTTGAAGCTGACCGAGGACCGGTCTTGGGGAGCTACAGGTTCCACGTGCCCTGCCTCCCCGAAAGAGATCTGAAGCTCCCTGAAGAAGAGCTGAGCTTTGCCCGCTGTTTTTCAGAGGCTCCCACCAGCCACATCTCCAGCAACTATACCTCACAAGCCACCACTGCATGTTCAAACCATGGTTCAAAGATACAACCACTGGTTAGTGTTCTTCCTAAAAATCCTGGCACCAAAGGGCAGCTCCCTTACCTGGAGTTCCAAGCGAATGGAAGTAACTTGTGGCCTTCACCAGAGAAAGGCTACCCTGGTGCTAATAATGGACTCTCCAAGCCGAGCCCGCATTGCCTAGGACCTCTGTCCTTCCAGTACCCCTTCTCCCCCTTGCCTAGCTCGGCCTCAGATCCATTCCAAGGTGAGGCTGACCCCCAAGACTATGTTGACAACATCTTGTTGGCCACCAGTCAGGCTTCTCATGGTGCTTTTGCCTTCCATTCTTCCTCCCGGGACTGGAAGGAGGAAGTTCTTGGCAACGGCTCCTATGACAATGTGGAGAGCAGGACTTACGGGCTGACTCCTCCCCCTGCTCCATTCCACCTGCCACAGACGCCGGGACACTTGCCATGCTACAAAGGAAGGAATGGACCTTCCACTGACCACAACGGTGCTATCTCTCCTTCTGGTGCTATTGACCAAGTTCCAAGCACTTTCCAAGAAAACCAAGCTGTTTTCCCTCCCAGTTTACATGCCTCGAGTACGCCAAAGGCCGTGGTTAAGAGGCATTCGTCTTTGTCGAAAGACGGCGTAGCTAGTCAAAGGATACTGGATGTAGGCAGCTCTCTACGAAGGAACGGGCTACCAGTTACTCTCCCGCAAGTGCACTTTCAAAACAAGGCTTTCAACGAAGCGTCGAGCTTGGTGCCTTTTGAGAAGAGCCTTCCCAGCAGCATGCAGGCCCACCCCCGGCTCCTGCAGGCCTGGGAAGGGGGCAAAAAGACTTATTCCCCCATGGAGCCAAGCTCAGCGGGGTGTCCCAGTCCAGAGGGCAGCCAGATCTCCTTTGGGTACCATTCGGGTCTTGGCAAAAAGGCCTGGCAGCATCTGCCTCTCACCTGTGGGGTCCCTGGCCAGAATAGACTCGAGCTGTCCAGAAAGTTGGCCAGCCAGAAGCCTCTTTTCCCCCTCAGCACCTCAGAGTGGGAGGGAAGCAAGAAACTGCCCCAAAGCCCCACCAGCTATCCCAGTAAAGCTCTGGTGGCTGAGGACCTGTCCCCTCAGAGCTGTAGCTCAGCCAGCAGCATCTGTTTCGAAGGCTCAACGGAAGGGGAGACATCCAAGAGCAAGACTTTCTTCCTCAGCGTAAGCCCAGCACGGCCTCCCATCCCGTCTCACCACCCACCCAGTCCCAGTTTAGGATTGCCACCATCTACCTTAACTCCGTCTCCAAAGGGATCTCCTCTCCCTTCCCCCACCCCCAACCTCAACAGCAGCTGTTCCTCTCCCTCCCTCACATCCAGCAGCCCTCCAGGCCACAGCTTTGAAGATGAAGCTGCCTTGGCTGCCTCCACCTTCTTCCACCACCAAGGCCACCACCCAAAGGACGGCAGTAAAACTTTCCAGGCCTCAGAGCTGCTGGGGGCCAGCTCAGTCCCCTACCAGATGGCCAGCCCCATCAAGGCCTTTCACCAGGAACTCCTCTATAAAGGTGTCTCCGTGGACAGCCATTTCCCAAAATCCAATGTGGAGACTTCCAAAAGGTTCCCAGAGGGTTTTGAGAGTGAACTGCCTCCACCACCTTACCCATATTCCTCCTCCCGTCATTTCCTGGCCAGCTCACTGAGCAGCACAAGTCTTGACCAGCTGGATGTTTTCCTGACTTGCAAGCAGTGTGATCAGAACTTCAGCAACCTTTCCTCTTTCTTGGAGCACCGTCAGTTCTGTGGCTCTCATGTGGTCCTCCAAGGTCAGGCCAAGGATTCTTCCCGAGGAGCAGAAGTCAAGAAGCAACATCATGCCTCTCCTGAGTCTGCAAAGCACACTCAGACTAGTCTGGGGGTGCTCCTTCCTCCAGATCCTCATTTGCAACTGCTTGCTTTGAACAAGACTATGGACTTCCTGGTGGACATAGAGGGTAAAGGTGAATCCAAAGATGATCCTCTGAAACTGAACCAGCTCAATGGCTTTCCCGGAAATTTCTTGCCACTCAACACTTCTGACTTGGAGATTGATGATGCTAAGCTAGACAGTTTGATCACTGAAGCTCTGAATGGACTGGGATACCAGTCGGATAACCCTGAGATTGACAGCAGCTTCATAGATGTGTTTGCTGATGAAGACCTGGTATCTGTGAAGGCCACTAATGCTGGTGGGACTCCTTTCAAAGCAAAAGAGAACTTGACTTTAGGGAAGAAAGCCAAACATGTAGGCATGGATGAAAGTGTGAAAATGCTCAACCATCCTAGTGGGGAGCTGGCCAAAAGTAGAACATCAAAGCAACCTAAAGAGAGAGGAACAAACTGGCTTTCAGACTTTGGAGAAGAAAGACATGAAACATTCAAGAGCAGAGAATTGCCTCTAAATAAAGCCCTGGAGCCAACAATATTTGGGGCAGCAGAAGATGACACAAATGACCAACAGAAAGCAGAGAAGAACAGCCGTGGTCCTTTTCTGCCTATGAAGCAGGGGAGCCAAACTATGTCAGATTTGAGGCAGACCAAGAACCTTCCCTGTGCTTCTCCAAGAAATGAACTCAAGCCTGATGGTACTCACAGCTTGGCAGAAAGTACCACGCTGTCCAAGAAAGAAGTCAAGAAGAGGAAGCTGCGGAGTGGCAGTTGGAGCAAGGAGCTTATCCATAAAATTGTCCAGCAAAAAAACAAATTCCATAAATTGCACAGCCAGAATAGCAAAGCGGTGTCACTTTCCTTGCTCACCAACCGGTTACTTCCAGAAGCAAAGGACAATAAATTTTGTGAGTATGAATACATGTCAGAATCAGATGAAGAGAGGGTGGAATATGCCAAGCGACACTGCAGGAGAAAGCTGGGCTCCAGATTCAGCAGACAGCTCAGAAGCAGTTTGAACAGAAGGAACCAAGGAAGAGGAGGAAGGGAGAAGGGGACGGATCCAATATGGAGGTATGGTCCCAGAAGAGGACAGGAGGAACCCAAAAGACTTGCAAACAAGGAGCTGGAAAGGACAGATGGTCCTGTAGCAAGAGTGAGGAGGAGAAGCAGTCGGTCCTCCACAAGCAGTTGCCAGAGTCTGAGCATGTCCAGTGAGACCAGCAACAGCCCCCAGAGCACTGAGAGGGGGGATTCAGACACTGAAAAAGAAACTGAACAGAGGAAACAGCTCCTGCAAATTTCCAGATGTGTTGGACCACTTAATATTCCTGAGAATGAAACCATAAGAAGAAGCCACAGTATAGGCTCCGACTTTCCTGGAACGCCAAGTACGGTTGACCCAGTTCAAACTCAGCCAGTAGATAACCAGAAATTTCAGACAGACAATCCAAGCATTCCCCAGGACACTGCCCTGAATCAAGATGAAGGTGTGCTACAGAGCAGAGAAAAGCCACATCACCCTGAGGCCACAGCTGGAAAAGGTCCCACCGTGGTTCTTTCTCCTGAAGGTTCTGACCAATGCCATGGAGCCTTCTGTTGTGACATTGAAAAGCCAAGGGTGATGCCAAAAGATGCAGATGGGGCAGGAGGCCATCACTGCCCTCGATACGCTGCTAATAAAGGAGGGCTCTTGAAAAACCCAGTGGAAGAACTCACTGGTTCTCCTTCTGTAGGCAAGCACAGCATTCCCAGTGAGAAGAGCACCAGCTATGAACAAATGGACCTCAAGGACCTGAAGAACCAGCAGGAACTCATTATGCCAATCAGCTGCTTCAGTGACAATCCTGGAAGCAGAGAGATCTCTGGGAAAGGGGTCAACACATTTCTGGATGCTGCCAATGCATTTTATGACTGCAAAGAATTATCCCACAGCTACGAGACACCAAGTCTGTTCTCGGGGCCTGCAGCCATAGAACCTTCCCCTAACGAAAATGCGTACTTGTGTCAGAGAGACTTTGACGTGCCCTCGTTCAAAGAGAAGCACGATGGCATCCTGCCCTGTGAATCAGATAATACCCAAAGTAAGGTCCCCTCACCGCTTAATTTTGATTCATCGTCAGTATTTTTAGAATTCCCTATAGCTGAGTTTAATACCAACTTATATGACAGTGTGGCTTCAAGCAAGGATAATTACATCCCCTTTGAGTGTGCCAATCATCAGCTTAGCAAGATAATCCCCTTTGACCAGCAATATTCATCTTTTCTGCCAGAAAAGGACTGGACTCTGATGGAGGATGTGTCTCCCATTTTGACAGAAGATACGGCCCAAATTCCTAGACTGTCTGTTGAAAAACCAACAGCAAAGAGGCACTCCAGTGAAATCAACCTCTTGTCTCTATCCGACCAGCTTTCTGATTACAACGTGCCTTTCATGAGTGGTCTATCAGAGGATGAGTTGGAAATTAAAAGGTTGGTCACTGAGCTTGAAAGCCAGTTGCAAGCCAACAAACTTACTCTGCAGGCATCTGATGAAGACCAGACTTCAGTAAATCACATCAGCATGGAAGCAAAAGAATCAACTCGTGAGCTTTTGTCTTTAAGACTGGACCAGGAACAAAATGGCAAAGAATTATTTCTACTGGAGGCTGAGTATGAGAATGCAAAGCTTCTTTCCACAGAGCCATTCAGCTGTGAAAATATAGCAAATGAGAAAACACCCCTTCCAGCTTTGGACACCAAGTATGGAAGTCCCAACGACCCTTGGCCGTGTGCAGGGTCATTCAGCCTTTTACGGTCAGCCCCAGATTTGATTCTAGTTGGTCCTTTTAGCCCCCAAGGGCACCAAGACAAAATTGCTGAAAATCTGAAGGATATTGAAATCTCTGCTGAAGTTGACTTTGGGGAAATAAAAAATGCATCTACTAGAATCCTGCCAGATTCATGCCTTGAAGAGGTATCAAACAGCTCCAGAGCTCCAGACTATCCTGAACAGGTTATACAAAGTCCTGATTCAATCTTTCCCCAGTCTCTGGAGGACAGTGATTTAAGTTCACATGAGAATTTGCCACTGAGATCAGATGTGTTCCCAAAGCTACTCTCAGAGGAGAAAACATGTGATAGCCCCACTGAGTTAGAATCCTATGGCCATGAATTTCCACAGTTAGATCCGGAATTTGACTTGCAAGACACTCTAGAATCAGATGAAAACTTGTCTTCTAGTGCACAAAGCAAAAATCCAGAAACTCATCCACCCGACAAGCTAGAAACTACAACTCTCTTCCAGAATAATGAAGATGAGCATCTACGTAATAATGAGGAGACTGGAAGTCAAACAGTTTGCCAGACTTTGATGCTAAATGCCAAAGCTGACAATGGAGAAAACCCACATTTTGATATGTTGACTTTTTCCAAGGAGGTGGATGGAGAAGTTGTGTTCAAGTCCACCACCCAAGAGAAAGCAGGTAACCCTCTGCAGCAGCTGCAGTTGTTTGTGGCCAGGACAGTTAAAAACAATGAGGAAGAGTTGGTGAGTTCATCACTCCCAGCTCAGCATCCTGTGGCTCACCTGCCCTCGTGTCAGAGCCTTCCTCCAGAGCCAGAAGAGGAGCTTAGGGACCAAGAGCAAAATGAAGAAGTCGCCAGTAGCCCCGTGTTGGGGAACAAGAGAGATACTCTGTTTAAAAAGACTGAGAAACTAGCTGAGTTTCCAAACAAACTGCTTTCAGAGCCAGAGAAAGAGACAGAGCATTTTGATGAATGGGCCTCAGATGTCTCCAAAGACTCAGCCTCATTGAACCCAGCACAATGTGCTAATGTTGTCCAGCAGCAGCACTTAAAGGTTGAATGTCTGGAAGTGAACAGCCGTGCTATGCAAGCAGATGGTATCTCCCTGGAGTCCGGTGACCTCTCTCCACTCAGCAACTCAGAAGTAGCCTCAGTGCTAAGGGGGGAAAGAACGCAGCAGAGTCAAGTTACAGGACTGGCAGGAGGGGATCAAGAAGAGAAGACCTTGGCATTTAGAGACTGCAGAGAATCCCCCTTAAGCCCTTGGTCATCCGAGAAGAAAATGCCACAAGGTGCTTTATCAGCTGTGCTCCAAGTACATGTTGGCTCTTGCACTTCTTGGAACTCTGGGGATGAAGAGTTGGGGGCTGCCAAGGTCCACCAGGTGGAAGAGAGTGAAGATCAGCTGCAACATCTGCAACTTAACATGTCCTTGACTCCTATCTATTGCCCTGAAAATCAAACTGAGGATGCTCATCTCCTGCAGGGAAATGACTTGTCTTCAGCAAATAGCTCAGGTTCAACAGAAGGTCATGAATTGGAGAAGCAAGTCAGCTACTATGCAGAAGCCTCTCAGGCTGGACTTTCTCTGGATGTTGGCTTTGCTGATCAGAAAAAGGTGCTAAAAACAAGAAATGCTACAGGCTCTGACTTTGGAGGGATTCAGTCTGAAGAGAGCACCGGTCAAGTTGCCTTCCTTGCGCATGGCTTCCCCTCCATTGCAGAGAAGAGTGAAGTTCCTCAGCAGAGCCCACCCGGAGAGAAGGAATGTACAGAAGCCCTTCCATTCTTCCCCTCCTGTGATGCCATTTCTCATCTGTCCCCAGATATGCCTGGTGCCCTGGTTGAAGACCTCAACCATGACCTGCTGAAACCTCAGAAGAAGGTCCCTCTGGGTTATTCCTCATCTCTCTGCTCCAGCAAAGTAGCGTCTTCTACTGCTAAAACAAACAGACTTTTAAAGTTGCAAATGAGTGACTGCAAATCTCCCAGCAAGCTTCCTCTGAAAAGCAAGAAACATTCTGAAGAGCTCTCCAAGCATCAACCCGATGAAGACAATGGCATATTTTCTGCCAGGGGTGAACCCAGCGGTCCTCAGGCAGTATCCATGCATGATATCTTGCTCAACCAGCTTCCATCAGGAATTGATTCTGTTGAGCTCAGAGGTGGAGTCTGTAATGAAAATGTGTCATCAACATCAAATCTCCACGGGGCAAAGGACATCGGAGGAGGCCTCCCGGAAGAAAGTAAAGTTCCATGTCAATTGGGATATTTCCAGAAAGATGTTGATGTTCAAGACGTGCCAGTTGTCCTTTTGACTAAAACAGCTGGTGACACTAGTCAGATTCCACCAAGGGGATCCCTAAGTGACCCACAGGATCTAGAAACTAGAAGCAATTTGGAGAATGAAGACTCTGCATTGAATGAGAATGTGAAAAAATCATCTGACTGCATGGAAGAATCCATTCCTGAAGATCAAATCTTAAGAAATGATCCTAAGGCTGGACAATCAAAAGCAAGGAAGAGGAAAGGGTTGCAGATCACTTGCGATATTTGCGCCACTTCTTTTAGATCCAAAACTGGGTTGATGAGACACAAAGCTGTGAAACATCAGAAGAAGGATAGTGTTGCGTTGCCTGATGACAATTCAGCTCCCTTGGAAAAAGCATTAAAGACAAGCAAAGTGTTCCCCAAGAAAAGCATAAAGCCCTTCACCCAAGAGAAATCTAGTAACTCAGAGCTTTCCAAAACTGTAGGCCGGTCTTTTTCTAAAACCTCTGGAAGGCAAAAGAAGGAACCAAAGGCACAGAGCCAAGAAGGTATTAGCAAGGAACCCAATGGCCCAAATGCAATTTCATTGGACATCACTCACGAATTCCAGATGACAGATGAAAGGCAACCCATCAGCTCACAAGCAGAGAAATCAGATGGGTCCGAAATCCAGTCTAGAAAAAACACAAGTACAGAAAAACTGATCAGATTGGTCAGTATCGAAAGATCAAGGAGTTGCACAAGGCAAAAAACCAAGGAAAAACCGAGGCAAACAAAAATGACGTCTGACAAAAATGAGATTGCCGTCTCTTATCTTCGGGAGTCTGAGGTCCCTCCAGTTCATTGTAACACCACTGGCATCACTAATGACCACAGTCTGACCACCGTCACAGAAGAACCTGGGAATGGGCCAGAAGAGCAGATCCAGGTGTGTTTGCCATTGCTTCCTCAGCAGTCCTTGACCAACGAATTGGAAAACACTGTTGAGAAAACGCCTTCAGCTCAAAGGACAGCTGGACCACTGCTTCCTCAGAATGTGGGGGGCCATAGAGAGGAAGGGGAAGAGCTGGGACAAGAGGAGCATAGCCAGGAGAGATGGCCAAGTGGATCTGTGAAAGAAGGTAAGGATGAACTGAACCAGAAGCCATCAAAGAAGAGTTTCTCTGAAGAGATGAACGGTACAAGTCAAAACAGCCCATTGCTATACCTCACAAGCCCCAATACGTTTTCACCATCCTGTCCTCCTGGAACTGCTTCTGAAACAGGTTCTCCTAAACCCACATCTGAGAAAGCATTGGACGCTCTTTGTTTTGAGACTCCAGAGCCCTGGAAGAGGGAAGAGCTGCAGCCACAGAATGGGGAGTCTGCTGTTGATCCTGCAGTCAAACCAGATCTACCGAGCTTGTTTGATGATGACTCCACATTTTCACAACTTTTCCCCAGAAATGATGAGTTTGCCCGTAGAAAATGCACACGTGTATATGGGAAGCGCTCCAAAAAGCCTAAAGCTGTTTCAGAGATAATTGCAAAACCAGAAGGCACACCAGATCCTTTTACGATCCGCATGGCTTCTGATCTTGGTGAAAACAGCTCCTTCTGTGTTACCCGGGAAGATCCTTGTGAATATGACACAATCTCCGTTGATGATGCTTTGATGCTCAACATGTGTCATGGGAGTAAAGCAATGAGCAGTGATGTTAATTCCAGACCTACCAAAGAGACAGCCCAGCAACTGGATACGGGGCAAAAGGAAGAAGTTAAAGATTTGAAAAACAGCAGTGTCTTTCTGTGCAAAGAGAGTCCAATTGGGTCTCTTCCATGCTTTAAAAGCTGGAATAACTTTGAGAAAGCAACAGAAAATAATTCTTCTGAGGGGCCATTGCATAACTCATCCGTCCAGCTTCCTTATGGGCATTCAGGAGCAGAAGACAACCCAGAACTTCCTGACCTGAAAGAAAAGTCCTACAGCACCAAGGAAGAAACATTATCTGCGTTCCCTACCATTGACATGGAGATGTTGAACATGAAATTTGAGGTGAGTGATGTCTGTTTCTGCACCACTGGAGAAGATCAGCTGAGTCCCACAAAGCATGACGAAGGTACCTTAGGTTTCAAGCGAACTTCACTGTTGCAAGCCAAGCCCGTAAAACGTAAGCTAGAAGAAGGGAAGACGGGGAAAACCCGTAATGATTTAAATCTCAAGAATAAAGACAAGCAGTATAAATGCAAAGTCTGCTTCCAGTGGTTCCTGACTTTAGGGGAACTGGACTTTCACAAGCTCAGTCATAATCCCTCCCCTCCACCAACATGCTACATGTGTGTCCAGAGGAAATTCAGCTCAAGGGAACAGCTGAGGGACCACTTAAAGGAGAAACATGCCAAGAACAAGGCTGGTCTCTGGGCCTGTGGGATGTGCCTGAAGGAAATCTCTGATGTCTGGATGTACAATGAACACTTGCGAGAACACGCCACGCAGTTTGCCCGCAAAGGCCAGGCTCAGAAGTCAGTCTTGGGCCTTGCTTTCAGTGAAGAGGATGCTGCTGTCACTCATTTCCTCAACTCCATCATTTGCAGAAAACCCAGCAAGTTTTCCAAGCAGGCTGAAGGAGGGAACGGAGCACCTGCTGGCAGCGAGATCAAAGGTCCCAAAGAGTTTTCAGGACAAGAGACAGTGGTCCAGAAAGACTTGCCGGAGATCCCCTTCAGAATCCGGCCCCCCACAGCCTCCCTCAAAGTCCCAGCTGTTCCATCTCCTGACCCAGCTCCCAAGGTCGAAGGGGCCCAGAAGTCGGTGCCCATTCATCCTGAGTGCAAAGACCCCTCTCGAGATTGCCATCACTGTGGGAAGCAGTTCCCCAAGCCCTTCAAACTCCAGCGACATCTCGTGGTCCATAGCCTGCAGAAGATCTTCTTGTGCCACAAGTGTCCCATGTTCTATCAGGAGACCAAGGAGCTACGGAGCCACCTTAGCCAAGAGCATGAAATAGCTGAAGAAGCCGACATCAAGCACACCACTCTGTATGCCTGTGAGCTTTGTGCAGATGTTATGCATGTCATCAAGAAGTCTTTCATATGCAGCACTTGCAACTATACCTTCTCCAAAAAAGAACAATACGATAGACACATGGAGAAGCACCTGGTGGGCAGCAAGAAGACCTTCCGTTTTCGAGGTGTGATGCGGCCAGGGCCCTTTGCAAAATATGGGGAGAAGGGCATCAAAGAGGAGACCCGTGTAAGAGCAGAAGCTCCAGCAGTTAAAAAGAAGAAGGTGTCCCACCACAACAACTCTCCTGAACTAGCTTTGTCTGTGCACTTGGATGGAGCCCAAGGATCTCAAGAAGGTAGTCAGTCTCTGCTATCTGCTGTTGAGGCTCTGTCCACAGCCACTAGCCTGGCCATGCCCCCTTCAGCTCAGCCCCCTAAGGAAACAGAAGGCCTAAAAAGGGATTTCTCCAGTCCCCTGGCTGAAAGGGGGACATCTCCCCTTCATTACCTACTCCCATCCCTTCCTCTTGAGCCCCAAGATGACCCAGGCAGCCCAGAACACATTACTGCACTTTCTCCAGAAACATGGGCACATGCAGAGAGCCCTGGGGACAACCCAACTCTTCTCTTAAACTCACCCAATGCACTTAGCAGTGATCTTGCCAGTGTATCATCTAAGAAGACAACTGCTGCCCACAAAAAGCTGTCCCTGGCTTATCTCTCTGAGAAGCACAACGATGAACACAACATTCCAGAAAAGACAATAGTTAGCAGAAGGGTCGAACATGATATAGGGACTTGGGAGAGCCCATATTTAGAAGATCTTGCCAGCAAGGTGCCCACGTTTTCTCCTGGGAATCTGGGGTCTTCAGAATGTAAGTGGTCTCCTGAAATACAGTGGAACAGCAATCCTAATCTGAATGGAACAGCTCCTCAGGAGGCTGTGAGCAAGTTACATTTGCCAGAAACCAGCTTCCCTGAATTACCTCTCAAGGACAAGATGTCATTGTCTACCCTAAACTGGTCTGCCAAGGAGGTTCCTTCCAAGAAGGTCATAGGTGGTCAGGCCAATGCTGATGACACCCCTGGCGTCCACTGCTCCCTAGATGGTGCAGAAGCGGTTCAGATGTGCCCACTCTCGAGAGACAAAGCTTTCCTAGAAATGGACACCACTGCTCACTCCAAAGACACCAGCTCCAGTGTTGGCACGAAAGAGACAGAACTCAGTTTGGTCCAGCCGGTGAATGGCCATCTGCAAGGTGAAGGGGCAAGTACTCAGTCAAAGAACCACCATTCTGAGCTGAACAAGTTCTCAGAAAGACCGGCTGCAAATCGGCTGGCCAATCCTCACCCCAAAAAACCAAAGGAACACAACAAGTCCTCCCATCGGGGAAACCCAGCCTCCCGAGAGAACATTGAAAGAGATGGCAGCAAAAAACGGAAAGGCCGGGCCCAAGATTCTGTGAAGGGTGACAGCGTCAAAAAGGCTGACTGGCCCACTACTGAGGCATTGGCCTTTTCCCCTCGACGGAGGGACACCCATGCCAACAAACAGGCCCATAAACTCAAGGGGTCTGTGATGGATGGCCAGCTTAGAAAGTTGGGGCTTGACCAAGGCTTCCAGAAGAAGGTGGAGATGGGCCAAGCCAATGGAGAGTTGAGGCGCAAGGAGATCTTGGGGAGCAAAGCCCTCTACCCCCTCTTAACCAAAGACCCCTCAGCCTCCCTGCCCAGCTCTCTAAACCGCCGCAGAGCTGTCCAAGGTGCTAAAGTCCCCACTTCCCACAGTTATAGGACAGCTGAGTCCCAAACTCACCTCCTAAACCAACTATTTGGGCAGAAATTAACTAGCTTTAAAATTCCTTTAAGAAGAGATACTTCTGAGTAATTTATGAGTGACTTATGGTGATTCTTCGCTGCTTTCATGGGGCTGGGGGGCAGGGGGGGAGAAATTATCAAAGCATTACATTCATTTGTGTAGCTCTGTTTCTCAGTCTTGCTTAAATGAACTTGCACTGCAGACTCTCAAATAGTTTTTGCTTTGTGTCTTACTAATCTACTTTAATTCACCTGATTTATCATGCAAAGGCTAGAACTTTGATGTTGCCGATGGTTCGTTCTCGCGGACTAAAAAACGGTAATCGCTTTGGGCAGAGCGAAGTGTCAAGAGAAAATGTTTTATGGCAGAAGTACTGAGGTTGTAAGGGTGCCTTGCAAATCCTGGGCCCTCTTTCTGTCGGTGTCTCTCTTATCTTTGGATAAAGAATTTGAAGACGTGAACTTCATACCAGAGACCCTTATTCATGAGGTGCAGCACACTGTAGAAAGCATTGGTGTCCCCCCCCCCTTCCCTCTCTTGGAGGCTTTGCACAAATAATCCTGAGTGATTTCATTTAATTGGGAACCAGCCTCAGACAAGATACTTTGAAAAATCATTATAAAATAAGCAGGCCACAATTTTGACAGACAGTCCTTCCCAAGAACATTGTATTGAGGGTGAATTTGTTCATTCCAGAGACTCTGAAATTGCTCGTCTCTCTTAGACCACTGTGTAGATGTTGCTGAAATGTTGTTGTTGTTGTTTTAAAAAAAGAGTAAGGGGTGTGGGCCCTTTAACCTAGCTAAACTGCACCTTGTAGATGTATGACAGAGTTGAATATTTTTTAAAAAAATATTGTTTTAATATTTTCCAGTGAGAAAACTGTGCCAAGACCACTCCTACTCCACATAGTAAGGCCTTCTTTGGGGAAAAAAGGGAGAGAGATTTTTTTTAGAAAAGTAACCCCCCCCCCCTCAAACCTAATAGTTTTTAAAGGCTTTTTGTATCAAGCTGGTTGCTAAACTTGGTATGGCTTTACACTATACAGTTAAGTGGTGCTATTTTTTATCGTAATGTGAATTCTAACAGGAACACACACAAGCATACACACACGCACACAAACAGACAAGTTAAAAGAGGAACGGAGGCCTTTATAAACTGACACATGGGGGAGTGTGGTTGTGAACATTGCCTTGCAGTGCTCACAATTCTGCAGTGTGTTTTATAAAGGTTTAAATCCTGAGGTTTAGTTCTCAGGGTAGATTTGGAGGGTCTGGGTCAGTGTTTCTTGATATTGGATCACTTTATGAGGTATGGACTTCAACTCCCATAATTCCCCAGCCAGCATAGCTGGCTAGGGAATTATGGGAGTTGAAGTCCATACCTCATAAAGTTGACAAAGTCAAGAAACAATGGTCTGGGCTGTTTTTGGAACCTCGGTGGGGGAGAAAGAGCAGAACAGTGCACTGAAGCAATTTGGGGTTCTCCCCCAGAATACTCTGCATATGTCTTGCAGACTAAATAATGTTTGATTTCAAGGTCTTTTTTTTTAAGGAATTAAATGACTTTATCTTGTTAATATCTACCTTTACAGTTCACTGTTTTTTAAAAAAGTAGTTTGATTATACATTTGGGTGCAATGCATTATGTTAAAAAAAAGTTTTTATTTTGATATTTGTGAGAAAGCAGAGGAAAGTGATCATTTGGACTTTTTATAATGTTGGTTGGGTGCCCTTTGGACCTTTCTTTTATTATTGTCAAATAAAATAAGGGATGTGCATACAAGACGGTACTGTAAAACGGGGCTGAGATTTATGCTCTCAAATATAGTCCAATATTTTCCCAGAAATTTGCCGGTCTGTGACTTTTTCTTTTTTTTAAGTATTTTTTTTTCCTATAGGGAGATTTTACATAGATTTGGGGGGGGGGAGGGAAACACCACAGAATAAAAAGAGTAAAAGAGTAAAAAAGGGAAGAAAATATAAAGGAGTAAAATGGAAAATGAAAGATAACAAAACAAGTAAATGAAAATATCTTTAAAAAGTCACCTCTGATCTTTTTCACAGTTACTACTTCCCATATTGCATAGCATGGTTCCCTTCTTCCCATGAACAAACCTTTTAAATCAATACATTCCCAAATCACGTTCATTTTTGTTCATTTTCAGCAAAAAAATCCATTTGGTTTGCAGTTCTTTTGGGAATGACAACCGTCATCTCCTCCAGGCTGCTTCTCCGCTGAAGGTTTTTCAGTGGAGGCTTTTAAGGCTGTGTGGTCAGTGGTGAGCTTCCCTTGTGAACAGGCTTGTTTTAAGGAAAAGGCTTGTCCACTTGTGGAACTCATTGCTACGGGATGTTGCAGCAGCACAACTAAGTAGTAAAAGAGGTGTTCAAAGCCAGTCTGTACCTGGGGTTGGCTGGCTTTTCAGAGGCAATTGAGAATTCTGATAAGCATCCATAAATCTAGGAAAAAAAAACACCAAGAAGCAAATCTCAGCCAGTCCTTTGTGTCTCTGACCAGCCAAATTCATAATCAGTTAACAATCTGGAGCTGATGGGTTGGGACTTGTTCCAGAAGTTCCAGTTTTCCCTTTTGGCTGCTACTGAACCAGATAATAATAATAATAATAATAATAATAATAATAATAATAATAATAATAATAATAATAATAAACACGAAATAAAGTATTTACAGAAACAGAATTAGACGAACTGCAAAGGTTTACCCAGGGCAAAGAAATCAAAGCCTTACAAGAAGTAATTCAGAATGTAGAGGCAAACCAGGGGGAGTTGGCAGTGAAAGAATCCAGTAGAGATATACAACTGTTCTCATTTGGAAACCAGGCACCTCTTCCTCAGGAAGAACAAAACCCTCTAACTAAAGAAATAAAAGAATTGAAACAAAGAATAATTGAGCATCTAGAACAGCACAAAAACAACAGAATAAGGCTGCCTGCATTGAAGCTTGTTCCAAAGAAACAGCTAGCACAAGCATTAAAAGATGCAAATACTGCAATAGCAAGTATAAGCACCAATTCACTGCAAGAAACAAACCAACTAATGTACAGCACAGCTGCAGTTATAACAGAATACCTGGGATGCAAAATCAACAAAAAAGAAAAACAAACAAACAGTGCACCAGAAAAATGGAAGGTTAGACTAGAAAATAAGATCAGCAAGTTAAGATCACATGCAAGCAAGCTAGAACAGATGAAAGAAAAGAAGCTGAAGAACAAGAAGACCAAAGAATACCTAATCAAGAAATACCACTTAGAAACAAGGAAGATCAAGGAAGCACTGGAAATAATAAAGCAACAAATAACAGCTATAGCCAGGAAAATCAGTAGATATGAAGCTCGAATTGCAAACTATAGGCAGAACCTCCAATTTCAATCCAATCAGAAACGTTTCTACCAATCCATCAATGGAGAAACTGCAAGGAATCAGTCAGTACCTGACAAGGAAGAAACAGTGCAATTCTGGAAGCAGATATGGGATAACCCAAAGAAATACAACAAGGATGCAGCTTGGTTAAAAGAAGTGGATGCAAATAAAACAGAAGTTGAAATGAAAGAACTAGTAATAACAACAAAAATGGTAGAAAAAAGAGCAAAGAAAATCAAAAATTGGTCAGCACCAGGTGAAGATGAACTGCATGGGTTTTGGTTGAAACATCTAACTGTTATACACCCACTCATTGCCAAGCAGTTCAACAATATACTACAAGGAGGAGAAATTGAAAAGTGGCTAACAACTGGGAAAACCTACCTAATAATGAAAAATCCAGCAAAAGGGGCAACACCAGGTAACTACAGGCCAATTACCTGCTTACCAACAACTTTCAAATTACTAACTGGTGTGGTAGCTGATGCAGTACAACAGCATCTAGTTGAAAACAATCTCTTTCCACCTGAGCAGAAAGGAAACCGCCCCAATAGCAGAGGAACAAAAGATCAACTCCTAATAGACAAAATGATCTTGGAAAACTGCAAGAGAAGGAAGACCAACCTGAATGTGGCATGGATTGACTACAAAAAGGCATTTGACTCTCTGCCACATGATTGGATAATCAAGTGCCTAGAAATAACAGGAGTAAGTAGAAACATCAGAAAATTTGTGCAAAGATCGATGGCACAATGGAAGACACAGTTGCAGATCAATGGTGAAAAGCTGGGAGAGGTTAATATCAAGAGAGGAATATTTCAAGGAGATTCATTATCACCATTACTATTTGTTATTGCACTGTTTCCTCTGTCAACAATACTGAATAACTCAGGACATGGCTATCAAACATCAAAAACATCTGCCAGACTATCCCACCTCCTTTATATGGATGATCTGAAGCTGTATGGAAAAACATCATCTGAAATAGAATCGCTGCTCAACACTGTCCGTATATATAGCCAAGATATTGTAATGGAGTTTGGCTTGGACAAATGTGCCACACTTACTATCAAACAAGGAAAAATAGTGAAAACTGAAGGAATCAAGATGCCCCACGAAAATAACATTAAGAGTCTGGATGAGGAAGAGTACTACAAATACTTGGGTATCCTTCAAGCTGACAACATCAAGCACACTGAAGTCAAGAAAAAGATTAGAGGTGAATACATCAAGAGAGTGAAGAAGATCTTAAAATCCAAACTCAATGGAGGAAATACCATAAAGGCAATCAACACCTGGGCAATCCCAGTCATTAGGTACACAGCTGGAATAGTGGACTGGACTCAAGCAGAACTAAAAGCAATGGATAGGCAGACCAGAAAAATAATGACAATGAATCATGCCCTTCATCCACGCAGTGACATTGATAGACTTTATCTACCAAGGCAAATAGGTGGGCGTGGAATGCTACAAGTACATCAGATGGTTGAAGAAGAAAAAATGGCTTTGGAAGAATATCTGAAGAACAATGATGAAGATGCACTGAAATTAGTATATCAGGAAGGCTTACTAACTACTGGAGAGACCAAACTGGCCTACAAGAAAGACCAAATGAAGAACAGAATAGAGGCATGGGAAGACAAAGCACTACATGGCCAATACATGAAAAAAATAGCTGGGAAAGCAGATAATAATAAAACCTGGCAATGGCTAAGAGCAGGAAAATTGAAGAAAGAGACCGAGGGACTAATTCTGGCTGCACAAGACCAAGCCTTAAGGACAAATGCATACAAAGTCAAAATTGAGAAGACAGCAACAGACAGTAAGTGCCGCCTATGCAAAGAAGCTGAAGAAACAGTGGACCACTTGGTAAGCTGTTGCAAGAAGATTGCACAGACTGATTACAAGCAGCGGCATGACAAAGTAGCAACAATGGTGCATTGGAAGATCTGCAAAAAATATCATTTGCCTGTAAGCAAAAACTGGTGGGATCATAAAATAGAGAAAGTCATAGAAAATGATAAAATTAAACTGCTCTGGGACTTCAGAATTCAAACAGACAAGCACCTGCAACATAACACCCCAGACTTAACAATTGTCGATAAGAAAGACAAAAAAGTCTGGATAGTGGACGTGGCAGTGCCTGGAGACAGCAGAATAGAAGAGAAAGAACTGGAGAAGATAACAAAATACAAAGACCTACAAATAGAAATAGAAAGACTGTGGCAAAAGCAAGCAAGGGTAGTACCAATAGTCATAGGCTCCTTGGGTGCAATCCCAAAACAACTGGAGCACCACTTGAACACCATTGGCATTGACAAATTCGCTATTAGTCAATTGCAAAAGGCGGCCTTATTAGGAACTGCTTCCATCCTGCGACGATACTGTAATACCATCAAACATCCACATCTGCCTATCCCAGGTCCTGGGTAAGGACTCGATAGGTAGACAAAATGCCAAATCCAGTCTGAACATCTGGCTGACTGTGCGATGATCGATAATAATAATAATAATAATTAAACTGCTCTGGGAAAATTAAACTGCTCTGGGACTTCAAAATTAAACTGCTCTGGGACTTCAAAATTAAACTGCTCTGGGACTTCAAAATTAAACTGCTCTGGGACTTCAGATACCAAGGCAAATAGGTGGGCGTGGAATGCTACAAGTACATCAGATGGTTGAAGAAGAAAAAATGGCTTTGGAAGAATATCTGAAGAACAATGATGAAGATGCACTGAAATTAGTATATCAGGAAGGCTTACTGACTACTGGAGAGACCAAACTGGCCTACAAGAAAGACCAAATGAAGAACAGAATAGAGGCATGGGAAGACAAAGCACTACATGGCCAATACATTAAAAAATAGCTGGGAAAGCAGATAATAATAAAACCTGGCAATGGCTAAGAGCAGGAAAATTGAAGAAAGAGACCGAGGGACTAATTCTGGCTGCACAAGACCAAGCCTTAAGGACAAATGCATACAAAGTCAAAATTGAGAAGACAGCAACAGACAGTAAGTGCCGCCTATGCAAAGAAGCTGAAGAAACAGTGGACCACTTGGTAAGCTGTTGCAAGAAGATTGCACAGACTGACTACAAGCAGCGGCATGACAAAGTAGCAACAATGGTGCATTGGAAGATCTGCAAAAAATATCATTTGCCTGTAAGCAAAAACTGGTGGGATCATAAAATAGAGAAAGTCATAGAAAATGATAAAATTAAACTGCTCTGGGACTTCAGAATTCAAACAGACAAGCACCTGCAACATAACACCCCAGACTTAACAATTGTCGATAAGAAAGACAAAAAAGTCTGGATAGTGGACGTGGCAGTGCCTGGAGACAGCAGAATAGAAGAGAAAGAACTGGAGAAGATAACAAAATACAAAGACCTACAAATAGAAATAGAAAGACTGTGGCAAAAGCAAGCAAGGGTAGTACCAATAGTCATAGGCTCCTTGGGTGCAA